CCTTTATTCCTAATTCCAGTCATTCAGCTGAGCCCACTTCATCTAATTCAAAAACATTTTAAAAAAATATTAATTAAAACCAACCTTTCTTTTTTCTGCTCTTTTTAACACTTCTGTGTTGGCTGCAATCTTTGCATCTATCCTTTCCTCTATGGATAATTATACAATCTCTTTCTCTCGTCCTAATATTTTGCAGCAGTGTCTCTTTTATATGCATTTTATATGTATCTTTTTATATGGTTGCCAAGATATAAAAAAGATTTTGAAACTCTAGAAAGAGTGCAAAGAAGAGCAACAAAGATGATCGGGGGACTAGAGGCTAAAACATATAAGGAACGGTTGCTGGAATTGGGTATGTCTAGTTTAATGAAGAGAAAGACGAGGGGTGACTTGATAGCAGTGTTCCAATATCTCAGGGGTTGCCACAAACAACAGGGAGTCAAGCTATTCTCCAAAGCACCTGAAGGCAGGACAAGAAGCAATGGATGGAAACTAACCAAGTGGAGAAGCAACCTAGCAATAAGGAGAAAATTCCTTATAGTCAAAACAATTAATCAATGGACTAACTTGCCTCCAGAAGTTGTGGGTGCTCCAACACTGGAGGTTTTTAAGAAGAGATTGGACAACCATTTGTCCAACCCCTATAAGGTTTCCTACCTGAGCAGGGGGTTGGACTAGATTTTATTTATTTATTTATTTATGAGACTTATATACCGCTTTAAGTATAAGCACTCTCTAAGCGGTGTACACCAGTAAGCAATGTATATATATATTTACATTGCCCCCAACAATTATTCTGTTATTTTTGTCATCCAAATAATGGATTAAGTTTCTACATAATGGTTTACTATTCTACCAAACATTTCTTTCTCATATTTTCCATTACTTGGTGACATTGTGTCCCATAAGTGTTTCATGTAGCTCCCACATTTTCTTTCCTTACCTCTATTTTCTATTCATTTTGCTGAGAGATTACTTTTTCATATGACACTCTGATTTTCTCCTCCTGCAGTGATTCTGCTTTCAACTGATTTGCCTCACTTCTTCTTTTTCTTCCATTTTTTCATCATGAATTCCCTTAGTTGTTTATTAGAAATAATAAAATCAATTATACTTTATTTATGTTCATATCCTTGCCATGTATATATATGAATACATATTGGAAAGAAACATATTTTAAAAAAATAATGTTCTCCAATCACCATTCTAATTCAATTTTAGATGCCTAAATGCCCCATTCATCTTTTCCTTACTGTTTCTTCTCATTCCTATCTATCCATTCATGTCCCAGAATAAAACTATTTTCATCTGGATTACATTCATTCTGAATATTACACAGTTGCCCCCAAAATACATCTCTTGTTCTTTCACTATTATCATCAACTGGAGCATAATCTATAGATCCATACTTTTCTTTACAGCAATCTAAATGATGCTAATTCATAGTTACTGATATTGTAAACCTACAGTTTCAATTTCCTGCATGTATTCATCAATTCCACACATTGGGACCAGCTTCTTTCAGATTGTTTACATCCCCCATTTTCTATTTTGTGTCTCTCACACAAAAATCTATTTGTTTTTCATTTCATTTTCTTCCTTTCGTGCTCTTTACTCCTGTTACAATCTCCTACGGTCCATGGTTATCTCCAGAGACAGTCTCTGGAGACCTCCCACCTCCCACTATAGCTCTGGTCAATCAAACATTCAGGTAATATTTTTCAGTAATGTTGAGGAGATATAGACTACATTATCAGTCTCACTTGTATCTGCACCACATGCAATATTCCCTGCTAATGTGAAGAACAAAATATTCACACGAGTTCGATACTTCTCTGTTATTGGCAGCTTTTCAAGGTGAAGCAATTAAGAAACCAAAGTTATGAATGCTAATACTACTTTTATTACTTCTGTTATAGTAACAGATTTTTGCAAGTCTGAATGCACTTCCTCCTTCCCTCCCTTTATTTTCATGAGAACTAGGGAGAATCTTGACTGAAATGCTTACTCAGGTTAAAGTTCCGAGCATGACTCATTTTTCTTTTACTTGATTGTTATCTTGGCAGTGGTCTTCCTTCTGTTCCTCAAGGTTATTCCTTCTCCCATTACTGTTATACATTAAAATCAACTGAATTTGGGTGAAAAAAAACTCCATTTGAGTATGTTTTTATTACCCAGTCAAAATATGAGGTGAAATTAGTCTGGTAACAAATCTATGCTGACCTATTAATTACTGTATTTTCAAGTCCTCACAGATGAATCTCTAGAATCTTTCCAAATCTTGATATTTGATTAACTGGCCATATTTTCCTTCTTTAAATTTGTGATTATTTGTGGTTATGATCATTGTTATTCTCATATTAGTCATCCTATCATTTTGTTCTTTCAATATCCTAGGATGCTATTCATCTAACCCCGGAGATTCAAACTCATTGAGTAAATAGTTATTACTTTATCATGTTTCTTTTCAACTTTAAGCTTCAGTCTTGCCCCTTCTATCACCCTTATCTTCCCAATTTCCTGTGAAACATGTTGTCTTGTTAAAGAAGATTTAAATGCCTGAGTAATGAAACAGATCTGTATCATATTTTCTGTTAGCTTGGGATGATTTTTTTAAAAAAATGCTTCACTATTTGGACCTTTGAGTCAGCTGAATTCTAGTGATGCAGTTCTTTATTAAGGCCACATTAAGTGGCTCTCCTAGTCTGCTAGGCTGTTTTTCCCAGAAGATTGGTAAATGGGTAAGAATTTTCTTAGGAGCACAAATCCATGTTAATCCACAAGCTCTTCCTTCTGAAATGGGGGGGGGCAAAGTGCTTTCAGTGCCCTGAGATAAGAAACTGTAACAAAATCTTAACTAACAGAATGTTTCCAATGTACCTGGCAATATAACCAAAAGATTACCTTTTTTGAAAAAGTAGTGCATTTCATTTAAACCCAGCAGCACATAATGTCCATTGAGGTAAACTTTCTTGTAGTTTTCACAGTAATAGGATTTGTGTTTTGGCATGGATAGATATTGCAATGGTTTCCAAGAAGGATAAGCGTAAATAGAACTTGACGAAGTATTGATGAGAAATATTGGTGCTTCTTTGGAATAATCGTGTCTGCAATTTGGGAGGAGGTGTCTGCCCTCTATGAAAAACAACATATGTCATTCTCACCACTCTTGCTGGCTAGCTAGACAACTTAGCCAGGAGCAGCCCTAGGAGTCAAAAATATTTATTTATTTATTTATTTATTTATTTATTTATGAGACTTATATACCGCTTTAAGTGCGAGCACTCTCTAAGCGGTGTACACCAGTAAGCAATGTATATATATATATTTTACATTGCCCCCAACAATCTGGGTCCTCATTTTACCTACCCCGGAAGGATGGAAGGCTGAGTCAACCTTGAGCCGGTGAGATTTGAACCGCTGACCTGCTGAACACAGTCAGCTAAAGTGGCCTGCAGTACTGCACTTTCAGGTTAGAAGGGGAGCTGTCCAGCAGGAAGCTCAACGGGGAAATCAATTTTATAAAGGCTTGATTCCAACTGAGCAAATGTTATTCTCCCTGTTGTCACGAGGGCTCTGGTCCAGAACATTATTTCTTTTGAAAGTAACTCTCAAAGATAAGATCTCCTGACGTGGTGGAATTCTTGGGCAGGATCAACGTTTTCCAGCTCCTTTTGATTTAGTTTATGGCTCCTCCTCCAAGATAGCCACCATTCCCAGGTAATTTGACCAGGAGGGTAACAGACTACTATAGCCCAAATTAGTTATACAGAACTAATTGGTTGGTTCTAGCCAAAAGCAAGTTTGGGTAATTCTGAGTTCTGAGAGTTATAATCCCCAAACCTAGAAGACATCAGTTCTTGGAAGGCTAAATTAGTTCTGCATATGAGAAAGAGAAAGGGAGACAGAGAGAACAAAATGAGTTAAATGTAAATATTTCTAATCCAAGTTGAAATAACAAACAAACACATCGAGCCAATCTACTAGTATTCCCACAAGGCAGCAATATTCGCTTTAATCTATTCCTTCATTCTTGACAGAAAAAGGCTATCTTGTCTCCAATCTATTTCTTTCACAAGTGCTTTCAACCAGATTATTTCTCTAATATCTGATTCACAGATAAGAAGGAAGTAAAAAAAAAAAAACAAGACTTGTATAATTAGAAACATTCCTTCAGAGGAAAGATATAATTCAGATGGTGCAAAAGATAAACATTGATTCAAGAGTGTCTTTTTCCTCCCAGTTCTCCCTCCCTCAAAAATAAAAAGGGGGGGGAACCCTGAGAGATAAGGATTTTTTTTTTTTTGCTGCTGTTGATAAAAACAATCTAAGCAGATGTTGGGGGGTGGGAAGCCATAAAAAAGATCATCTCAGCTAAGCCAGCTGTTGGGATAAGTTTAACTGCTCACTTCAGATGCTGCATTTTCTCCAAGCCATTTGCAGATGCAGAAAACGGAGAAAGCATACAAGGCACAAAATAGTCAAAGCAGGAGCTTTTGACACTGATTTTTCCCCTCTCTCCCTCTCACTCACTCACCCACAAATGCACACACAGGAGGAGGAGGAGGAGGAGGAGGAGGGAGGAAGGGGAGGAGAGCGAAAAGTGAGCTCACATTCTCACATTGGTAAAGAGGCTGGTCTTGCAGTGCCTTTGAATATTCTACTTTTTTGCCAGTTTCTCTTCCGAGTCATGCAGACACACACATGCTGAGCTGAAGGAAACCACAGCAATGGGCTGCTCTAGAAGATCTGAAATCTGATCACACACCATCTCCCTCCCTAATTACCTCTATTACATATCTCGGTCTGTCTATATAGGAAGCCACTCAGACCCAGGGAACAAGGCAAGAGCAGTATCAGCCACCCCATCACAACCCAACAGAGCACCTTATCTCTTCTTGCTGGATAGACACAAACACACACACACACAAACATACACAGACAAAACCCACAGAGCAACAGACTCACACATTTTTTTATTCTCTTGGCTTCCTTGGAAGATTTTGCTGGCTGTTTTTCATGGAGAAAGACCAAGGAGAAATGGAGATTGAGAGATGGGAAAGAAGCGAAGAGCTGTCAGATGCCGAAAGGAAGGTGATTCAAGAGACGTGGAACAGAGTCTATGCGAACTGCGAGGATGTTGGGGTCTCCATTCTGATCAGGTATTTACCATGACCACAAGAAGCCAAATTTTAGTTCAAGGGACAGGGTGGGAAGGTAGTAACTGTTTCCTTCAATGGATTAGCTGTGATTGGGAATTATTGCATTGCATTTCAATTTCCAATAGTTTGAGTAGAAAAAAGAGAGGGGGAAATATGATCTGTGTAGCCTAGTTGGTGGCAATCAATATTTCAGCCATAAAGGTCATCTCATTTTTTATGTACAGCTGGGGAATTTATAAGGAAGGAATGGTTTTGGCTTAGCTCTTTGCTGATAGAAAAAGATATACATCATACTCCTGGGTGAAATACTGCAACTTACGAGCCAAGATAAATCCAAACAGGGCTGCTGAAGCTTGTCGGCACCATCTGCTCCTCAGCTGGGTGGCTGTATCAATGTAAAATATGAGGCTGAAGTTGTCTCTTGAGTCTGCCGTGAAGGTTACTAGCCAGGGGGTTGGTGTAAACACTGCAAACAGTGACAGGTAAAGGATAATTGGATGCTTCACTCTGCTGGAAAGCTCTTGGCAAAATTGCCAGAGAGCAATGGGTTACAGGAATCTTAAGAAAGAAGCTGGTGGCTAAGTTTACATATGGCATGGAGCAATAATGTGGCTTGTTTCACTTTGGCATAGTTCGGAGTACAAACCCAGCCTTTGTGGCTTGAAAACCATGATTTCTGGCTTTGCATGTTGCATGCCTTGCTTAAAAAAATCATGATTCAAACCATGGACTAGTGTGACGTGTGAATGTAGCCTGTGTATTTATATGTTACCAGATAAGTGAACTAGAAAGCTGGTTTAAACTAAGGTGGCCTATGAGTAGGATGATTCTCCAGACTAATTTACTTTTCTATAGTCTACCTGATCCTAGGTATTTTACTGGGCTCCACATACTACAGATAATGAAGTAGCCTGTGTACAATGACCATGTCCCTGTCAAAATTATCTTGAGGATTATTTCAAAATCTGACCTTGTTTCATGTTAACTCCTGCAGACTCTTTTGGAGATGTGTGGAAGGGGCAAAAGAGTTGTTGTTGTTTTCTAAATCAGGGTAAAAAGAGCTATGTAAGAGAAAAAGACCCAACTTGAGAGAAATAGTCACTGAACTGATCTGGATTTGAAACTATTCCCAACTATAAATTAGGAAAAAGATTTACACATTTCCAATCTTATTGCTCTTATTTAATCCAAGGCCTGCCACAATTCCCATTTTTAAGTTTGAACCAACCTTAGGAACTCCAGTCATAGCTTTCAGTTATTATTCAAAGTTTGACTTAGAGGCTATATAAACTGGCATTCAAAAAGAACAAAGATTCTTTCATTTATTTAACAAGCATGTTCTCCAACAAATTGTTAGGTCAGTTTATAGCAACTTCTTAGAGTTCTGAGCAAAAACAAAATAAAAAAATCCCATGCAGTCCAAGTATATCCAATTTAACTAGAGAATAGAGAAGATTTTGGATTTTGCAATAATGAGGACATCCACAAATGTACTATGGTGGTCTGCCCAGTTTTTCTTAAAGTTTCACATCAGTTTTTCTGTGGAAAATTAGACTGGTTGTTGTTTTTCAGAATTTTTCCAAGAACTAATAGTTTGAAAGCTGTATAAGGCAAATCCTATTATCCCAATGGGACAACAGCAGGATCGCCAGTCGCATATTTAGATATGTTTTCAGGTAGATCCTTTCTGTGGAGGGGAATTGGAAGAATTCGTTTTCTTACAAGTCTGCTTTCTGGGAAAAAATCTGAAGAGCTTAATTTAAACCCAAGATGTTTCATTCCCAATTATTTAAAACATGTTCTTTTTTTGAGGGGGGGGAGGAGTATGATCCATCTTTTTAAATGCTTCTTGTATTTGTTCCACAAAATATATTGAACGTCCCTTATGATCGCTAAGTTTTGCAATCTTAAGCAAGACAAGATAAGGCGCATGTATTCCAGGGTATCCCTCAAACTTTAAGTAGCTGATCAGAATACTCAAAAAAGAACCAGCAGTCCATATACCTACAAATGAATCTCTTGAATTCACACTAAATGACTTTTTTTTTCAATGGAATGGAACTTTTCTCATTTTATTCTTAAGTAGGAAATTGGGGTAAATAATTTACCTGGATCATTTTGTAGTGATTTTAATTCCTTATCCCCATGCTGAGTGATAAAGATCATGCAAGAGCATAACTTTTCCTTCAGTATTGCTCTAAATTTCGGATCACAGTCCCATTTGTTTTTCTTGATCTGAATGTTCAAAACTGTACATTTTTCTGTCCATCTTCCATGTTCCTCAATAATCTCTGATTGTCTAAATGATTCTTTTCACTTTATTGTTATTTGGAGATGTACTTAACTAGTATACATAGCTGCATAAACATATACATACACACTTCTACTTGTATTTACCAGATAGAAGTACCCATTCACCTGGGTCAGAAAAAGGCAAAAGCTGTTATTGTATAAAGATCCAGGATGTTACCTGATACCTTTCTTTATAAAATATCAATTTTAGGAAGCTGGAACAAACATTAACTTTCTTACACAGATATACTCATGATCACAGAAAAATTTACAAAGATAACTCGTACAGTTATCTAATTTTATTTATTTCATAGACCATGACTATGTCCCATGATTATCTTTTGATCCATAAAGTAACAGATTTCTGATTTCTATATTTCTGTCAAACATTTGGTTTCCACTGAACCAAAGATCAACACAGATTATATCAAATGGAACTCACAGGTCAACTTCACTCTATGGCAGAGGTCCCCAACCTTTTGGGCACCAGGGACCGGTTACATGGAGAGAGGTTTTCCTGCAGACCAGAGGGGGCGTGGTTTTATGTGTTCCTGCATCCCACAGATGGGGCTTTGCTTGCTTGGGTGGCTTGGTTGCTGGCATGCCACAGCCCAGTACCAGTCCATAGATCGGGGATTGGGGACCCCTACTCTAAGGCAGCAGTTCTCAACCTATGGGTCGCAACCCCATTTGGGGTCGATCGACCATTTCACGGGGGTCACCAAGCAAGGCTGTCTGCCATTTTTTTCCCCTTTTCTGACGGGTGCCTTACCTCCCTTGGGCTGGGCCAGCTGATGGCCCAGCCGGTGGTTGGCCTGCTCCATCTCTGCCGCTTGCCAGCTACGCCTCAGACAGCGTAGGGGGCGGCACCACACATGTGCAGCACTCCTGGGCAAGGAAAGTCCTCGACTTACGACCAGTTGGGTAGTCCTCGACTTACGACCGATTTAGTCCTCGACTTACAACCGGTTGGGGGTCACGGCAATAAAAAGGTTGAGAACCACTGCTCTAAGGCATGATAGGCTGAAGTTAAAGGCAGAGGAGGATGAATAAAACAAAACAAAACAAAACAAAATGCTCTCTGAAACTATGGTTCTGATCATGGGTATAAACAAAGCATTTATTCAGATTACTTCTTTGCTATGTGCCTTAAACAATAAGAGAGAATCAACTTTGCTGCCCTATTAACATGGCCTTCACTTCAGTTTTAAGCTTCTAAATCAGGGTGTTCACCCTAGGCAACTTTAAAACTTGTGGACTTCAACTCCCAGAATTCTCCAGCCAGCCAGGCATTCATATTTTAAATGAACAGTGGAAAGAACGCACAGAAGTAGGAAAGCTATCTTTCTTTTTTCAGACTTTTCTGCTTTCCCTTTTCATAGGAAAGCAGATGTCTAGAAAAATGTCCACATGCAATCAGAAATCTCTTTGCTTTTCTGAATTATTATATCCAATTATAACTCAGAAGAAATTTATTGTTTTGCTTGTTTATGATGTGTATTAAGCTTTGCCCATATATGGCCCAATTCAGCTCATGTAGATACATTGGACAAACTGAGCTATTTGTGCATCAGTAAAACATTAAATCAAAATCTCACTGAGAATAAGGCATTGATGGACATCTGTATTCAGCTCCCTAATTGCCTTTTGGTTTTTTTATTCCTTCTCTTTTGACTTCTCTAGACTTTTTACCTCAGTCCGACTTCTATTTATCTCACCTCCCACACTGCTCCCACTTGAAAGAAAAATAGATATAAAGAATATTTAGATCGGGATAAGTATCCATTCAAGCAGCTAAAAAATATCTTGATTAAAAAAAAAACTTGGCAAATTACTGTGGCATCGGTGACATGATTTGTCTGCCAAGCCAAGCCAAGACAATAGGGTATATGGATAGATTACAGTGCACAGTTATGAAGAACTGGCCCTGAATTCATTCTGTGCATGTACACAGTGACTGCAAAGTCATTACTCAGTGAAGGATGTCAAGGGCGGGCAGGAGGGAAAATGATAGAATCACTCCAGGAGAAGCAAAGAAGCCAGTACATAGAAAAACACATGAGATTACCCTGTTTCTTACAGCCTGCGAGCCATGCTGAAATTAATTTCCAAGCAGGGCTCCAGAATAGCCTGGAAAGATAAATGCTGTTTGGATTTTGTTCACCAGATCTAAGCATGACGGATAAGCAGGGAAGGGTGGGAGGGAGAGAAGAAAAACTGAATCTAAATAAGCTGCTCTTCATTTAGATTTCTGAAATACCAATTAGACATTTTTAAGAATAAAACTTCCCTCACACAAACCCATAGGAGTCAAGCAGCTCAATGGTATCTTTACCTTTACCTCACACACAAACATACGTGTGCAAACAGATTAAAAATAATTTTGAAAGTTAGCCATGCTATCTCTGGCTCTTTGTGCCAACAAGAAAACAGTTGCTAACCAGATTTCAGTTCTGAAGAAAGTATAAAGTATTCAAAAGAATATTCTGCTTTTAGGGGTAAAATGTAAGAGTAACATGACAAAAAAAGATAAATATTTTGGCCTTTCAATCAACTTCCTGTTCAGCCACAATTTGAACCACAGTTTGTTTTATCATCAGATTTACCTCACAGGCTTGTTGTGAGAAGAAAATGGGATAAGATTTTGCAATGGTCCAAAGGCTGCTACAGAAATGCTACTGTAAATAATAAACTTTATCTTTGTTCAA